CACAGGAAGCAGCGTTGCAGGGTGGAGACCGGGAAGGGAGATAAGGAGGCAGTAAAAGGTGCCTTGCGCTATCAGTTGCCATCAACCAGGAGCCCTGTGACGGCCTCCGCTGCGGTGCCAGGTGAGCAGATAAACGATGGGGAGGCAGTGGCCGTGGGACTGGTGGGCATGGGGGTGGGACAGCGGTGGGCTGGGGATGCGGCGGAGGCTGAGGGGAGCAGGCTCAGCCCTGCTGCTGAAAGGCAGCCGAGGAGTCTGTGTGTGGCTGCCATGGGATTCTCCTCCCCACCCAGCCTGCGGGGATGGGAATGAGTTGCTCCGACCCCGGAGAGCGAGGTCCCGCGTGTCACCGCTCGTGCCACTCACCAGCCCCATCCCACCACCCAGGGCACCTGGGCCTCCCTGGGGCCCCCTGCCCGCCCTGCCTTGTCTGCTGCCTTCACCCCACACATTGACACCCATCAGCTCAACCTACGGGTGCCTGGATTTCCACTGCTGTGCCCCCATGGGACTGGGCCAAGCATGACAGAAATGCTCCAAAACCAATGCCGGTACCAGGTCACGGTGGAGCCCGGAAAGCGCGATGGGTTCAGTGGGACACTGGTGCCTGCTGGGGACCTTTGGAACAAGATAACAGCTGGGTCTGTGCGTGATGTGGGAGAGCAGGGCAGTCCACAGGGTACAGCACACCGATTCCCAGTGGGTAAGCATGGGCCAGAGCCTGTGGAAAACACCCCAGATGCCATGGCCGGAGGCTGCGTGTAACCCTCCTTGCCCTGGGCACAGCTCTGGCTACAGGACGGGGTGGGGGGACACCCATGGGAGCCCTGGGAGCACGGGAGGGTGATGGTAGGAGCCTGACCAGTACCCCAGTGAGGTGAGCACCTGGCAGCTCTTGGCACGGGGTTTGCACCAAGATGTGCGCAGTGGCAAGAAGACTCCCGCCCTGTGCCTGGAACGGATGCTGGGGCATGGCAGCACCCCAGGCGTGGCTGCAGGCCAGGAGCTGAGACTGGCCAGGACAGTCCCCAGGATGGAATGGCCCTGGGGACAGTGCTGACAGCCAAGAGGACATGGGGGGAGTGTGACGAGTGCCACACAGCAGCAGGGCTGGCAAGCAGGCAGCTCCTCAGCAGGGCAGAAGGGAGGGCAGGAGGCAGGGAGCGGTGTCTCAAAGATCACGGGCAGTTATCAATATACAGGAGGGAGCAGAGTGTGTGCCTGACTGGAGACACCTGACCAAGCTGGGCACAGCAGGTAGGAGGGCTGGGACATGGGGGGAGTGTGACGAGTGCCACACAGCAGCAGGGCTGGCAAGCAGGCAGCTCCTCAGCAGGGCAGAAGGGAGGGCAGGAGGCAGGGAGCGGTGTCTCAAAGATCACGGGCAGTTATCAATATACAGGAGGGAGCAGAGTGTGTGCCTGACTGGAGACACCTGACCAAGCTGGGCACAGCAGGTAGGAGGGCTGGGGGCGACGCGGGGACTCGGGCTAGCACAGCCCCGGCACCCTGCGAGTGGCTCACGGGGCCAACCGCAAGCGGGTGAGCATCTCAGCGCCAGCCCGGGCCCCCCGCCCCGTGAGGCAGCAGGGTGGT